GTTTTGCTCTCCTTCCTACTATCAGACAAGTGCTACACCAGGGAAAGTATGAGAGACTCCAGCCTTTGGCAGGTTGGGCACAGGCCCCCCTCTTTCCTATTCTTCTTTTTTTGTTACTGAAACCATCCATCTGCCAAATGTCACTAGCTGATAAGAACTGCCCATTTTTAAATCCCCTTTTGTAAATAGATGCTGGCTGACATAATTAATGTCTACCATACAACACAATTTGAATTACAAAGTAAAGGCAATTTAAAAATCAGCCTCCACATGATTACAATTGATACTGAGTCTATAAATTCCATACCCCGAGGAATTATTTAAATTTCTGAAAATGAATGAAAATCAGTACAAGATGTCTTTCAGGCAAGCAAGACCCGGAGTGGAGCATCTGATAAACTAAACAGTCTCTTTAGATAAACATTCTTTGGTGCAGTAATACCTATGGCTCCTGCGCCACTGAGGCTCTGCAATGTCTGCTGCACTGTCAGGGCCCTTATCTGCTCTGCCACCACCTACTCAGAATCAATCTCTCCAGCTGATAAGCACATTAGGTAGAGGAGCCCTGCTTGTCACTTCCATCTCACTGGGTGGTTTGTATGAACTCCGTGGCACCGAAGTGCTCCGCCCTGTGACACCGATCCTGCTCGCCAGCGGGATCCGGCCGGAGCAGAGCATGGGCAGGGGAAAAGGTACAAAACTTCCTGGGCCCCCAGCATGGCAAGGACATGGGACCATGTCCTTCAGAGCAAGACCCAAGGAGTAGACAAAGTTGATAAGGAGACTGAAGCATCTTCCCTATGGGGATAGGCTGATAGGATTGGGGCTGTTCACCCTGAGGAAGAGAAGGTTGTGTGGAGACATCACAGCAGCTTCCAGGATCCGAAGGAGCTGCAAGGAAGCCCGAGAACAACTCAGGAAATGTAGTGACAGCACAAGGGGGAACGGATTCAAACTGAGACAGGGAAATTTAGATTTGATATTAGGAAGAAATTCCTGGCTGTGGCATTTGAATCTACTCCAGTTTCAGTATTCTGTTAACTAAAAATAACAAGTTTAAATGGACATTAGTCAAGGGAAAAAGAACAGCAGCGTGAGGATAATTTAAAGCATGTATGCACTCTTACACACCAGAATAAACAGCTCTGTTTCTTTCTTTCTTTCTGTGCAGAAGCTCAGCAGCACTGCAGCACAGCCAGGAGCTCTTCAGCTTGTGGATCCCATGCAGAAGGGGGATCTGGCATAGAACAGGGACACTGCCAAATTTGACTTACCTTCCTGTCTCTCTGCTATCACTTAAGGTTTTAAGTGAATGTCATTATTTTCCTGCTAGTCCTTCCCTTGCAAAATAATTTCAAGGTACCTTGATTTACTAGAAAAACAAATCTCTTCAGAAACAAATAGTACCAAGAAAGAACAATGAAATCTGCTTTCAAGGAAGCAAACGTGTTACTGCAGATCACAGGCTGGCAGTTAAGTTCTGCATAAATACCCCAGATATGTGGCAGTGATAGCCTTGTGATAAATTACATTTATCATGCACTTCTGACCATCTCACCTGCACTCACTCCCCCAGTGAGGAAATGTTAACATTCCCCATCTTTCATCAGTTTCAAACAGCTGCCATTAAAAAAACACAACCCCCCCCAAACCCACAACAAAGAATTCCACATCTTCCCAGAGATAATCTTATCTTTTGCTTTTGAAATGGGAGGTTTTCCCTAAATTACTTTGGCACAAAATCCAGGCATGGGGGCGGGATGTTCAATCAGGCTTAGGAGCATACAGTTGAAGTTACCTATTGGGGTAGAAATGGAACCAAACATTCCTGGGAAGTACCAGGAGATCTGCAAAAATGCACAGTGTAAGAAATTACACAGAGAGCAGTGAGGCTCTGGCACAGGCTGCCCAGAGAAGCTGTGGCTACCCCATCACTGGAAGTGTCCACGGCCAGGTTGGATGAGTCTTGGAGCATCCTGGTCTAGTGAAAGGTGCCCCTGCCCATGGCAGGGGCTTGGACAGTCCTTAAGGTTCCTTATGAACCCAAGTCATTCTATGATTCTATGAGTATTCTATAAACTACAGCAAGTATTTGCATCACTGGAAATATGAGGGTCCCAGATTTCTATCTGTAAATACACAGTATTTTTTTCTGGTGCAAGAAACTACTAAGGTATTAATCTTTAAAAGTCATAAACAAAATGAGGACAAATTAAAATAAGGCTGCTCCACTCTGAGATACTTTGTTATTAGCTCTGGAATTGGAAACGAGGAACCAACTTCAACTCTCTAAGGCACCATCTCCAACTCTCCCAAAGGACAAAATACCTCACAGCATCCATGTCACGGAACTCCTGAAGGAAGCAGACATGGCTGTCCTAACTGTTACAAACAACAGTTTAACACTTAGCTCCCCACAAATGGTAATGAAAGGGCTACACTTAAATATTGTTTTCCCTATAACCAGCAACATGTACAACAATGTGGCTGCTGTGAGAATATTACAAGGAGAGAAAATCCACAGGAAAATGTAAACTCAAAAACCCACCACTTTAGTGGTGAGAACTTTCCTCCTCATTAGTTTCCTGCCTCCCTTCCTTCACATTCCTCTTTGTTATCGAGTAGAATGATTTTTTTAAAATGAGGTGCAAAGGCATTTTCACACCTCTACCTAGAACTAGGTTAAGACTCCACACTAATTACATATTATTAATGAATTCAACAACCGAGACCAAGCTGGTCAGGGAAGGGACACGGGTCTGCATATTGTGTATGGATGCACGCCTGTATTCCGCATGGATACGATGCTGCCAGGGGCTGAACTCTCTTACTGCAAAAGTAGAATGCTTAAAACTGAAAATCATACTCTACAATGCCATCATTTTCTTCCAGTTATTTCTTTTCTCTGTAAAAGTGTTTGTAGGGTTTATGTTGTGTTTTTTTTTGTTTTCCATTTGATACTGAAATGCACTAAAATATTACATCCCAGTCCCTGTTTTCAGGACTCTCCCCAGGTGTGCTTCATTACAAACACCAGTATCAGCTCAATAACATTTCTTTCTCTATTAAATAAGCTGCCTGGCCTCCCTGACACAGACTGGGAGGCGATTTTAAAAGTTTTAGCTATATGTAACACACTATGCATCAGATTATCATGTTCTGACAAATTCTGCTTGGGTGGTTTAAAGGAAGTATCTTCCACTGGTGGCATCATTGCCTTCACAGGAGAGCTGGCACAGGGACACATAACCACATTTTAGCTGCAAGTTAGAGAGGAAGAGCTTACCTGGCCACCAGTGGGGTTCCCTGCTGCCCTCTCCGCTGCTGTACAGGGACAGCTTTGCTCTTTGCAAAATAGATCTCAAAGAGCAAGTTGACAAATGAAAGATAATGACAATCAGTGCCAGTTTAACCTGCTGGGCTTTCACTGGCCTCTACAGCAAGGGCTTTTGGAGACATGCAGCTCTGCACTCCAGCTCCTGCAGGCTGAACTGTGCAGGTGAAGCACAGGCATATGAGTGTTATCTTTGGACACCAACTCTGCAACAAAGTGGTAAAACCATCACAGAAATCCCCAAACAATTAGTCAAGGTCTAAGTATCTGCAGCCAGAATGATATGAAATTATTTCCTCTCATCCTGTCCTTTGTTTCCTGGGGGCAGAGCCTGACCCCCACCTTGCTGCCCTCTTCTGTCAGGAGCTGTGCAGAGCCAGAAGGTCCCTCCTGAGCCTCCCTTTCTCCAGGCTGAGCCCCTTCCCAGCTCCCTCAGCTGCTCCAGCCCATTCCCCAGCTCCGTTCCCTTCCCTGCACAAGCTCCAGCCCCTCAATGCCTTTTTTGTCATGTTCCCTCTTCTAAAGTACAGAGCTGCTAACTATGTCTGTTATGCAGTCCTAACACAAGACACTATACATTCTCTTACATAAAAGTTCTAGGTCTAAATAACTTTTGGAGAAGAAAATATTTGTATAGAAGCAGCACACAATGAAAAAAAACCCCCACAACACCTTCCATCCTTGCTCTGGTTTAGATCTGTGCAGGAACATGTGGACACAAAGCCAACTCAGATTGACTTTTATTAGGAAGTGCATAAAGAACAGATTTTGCAAAAATTCTGATAATTTCTAGTTAAAAGCCTTGTTGTTAAAAGTATTATTCAAGCCTTAAATATGCCCCCCCTGTGGGATGAGTGTGCGCTAAACCAACTCTTAACAGACCTATTAATTGCACTTCATTAGTTGCTTCAGACTATAAGTTTGTGGAGCCACTTTGATTCTTAAGTTTCTAGCTGGCAGGAGAAACAAGGCCTGATTGTGTCAGAGTTGAGCTGCTGAAGAGATCAGTGTTTTACAAGGGATGTAAAAGTGGTTCACAGCTACTAAAATAGAAATCTTCGTTTGCTTTTCAAGGATGAGGGAAGGAGCATTTGTAACTTAAAGTTTAGCAATGGGTAATTAAGAAATACACCAATAAATTAATCTTCCCAGGATATTTTCTGACTTGTGGAAAGACAGTAAAACACATCTAGGAATTTTCCAACTGCAAGCTTCCTTGCAAGCTTCATCTTACTGGATATGGTTTTAATCCCGAACACGATTTGAACCCTGAAATTATGTAACATTTTCCCCTATGTGAATATCAAATATGCTACTTTCCTTCTGGATCTTTTTAAGATGGTCAGAACACATATTAAATAGGTCATGCTGCTTTATCAGCTCTGTTTTGCCCTGAAATACCTGTGTAAGGAGAATGTTACCAAAATTAGCTGCTTTCAAACATTACCACAGGATTACAGAATGGTTTAGGTTGGAAGGGACCTTAAAGATCATCTCTTTTCACCCTCTGCCATGGCCAGGGACAACTTCAACTAAACCAGGCTGCTGCAAGCTGTGTCCAACCTGGCCTGGTCAGGTCAAGAACATAAAGAACAAAGTTTACTGCCTTTTGAGTAGGTTCATTATCCTGACAACCACTCACCCAACGGAAGGGTTTTGTACTCACCAGCATCCAGACTCCCAGTAGCTGCAGTCCAGCCCATGATGGGGGGAATGGCGCCGACAACAGCTCCCACCCACGTGTTGGCAATGCTCATTCTCTTCAGGGGCGTGTAACAGCACGTGTAGAGGAAGATGTTGAAGGCGCCCAGGGCCCCGGTGAGAGGGTTCACTCCCAGTGTGAGCAGGGCAACTCCCGGGATTCCACAGCAGGCAGCAAAGCAGACAGCGAGCAGGGGGCTGTGGGGACACACGTGGCTCAGAGAGTGGCTGCCGTCCCTTCCCTTCGGCCTCCCCCCCAAAATTAACACTGAATTTTTGTTATTGTTTTACCCAGCCATCCTAAATTTTCTTGTTTGAGCCCCCATCCTAACAAACGCCTTCCCAAAACGTGAAGACAATCTCGCTACAGCTCTGCAATAGAGGTGATTCTTAATCTTGTGATCGCTGCGTTCACCAAATAAACTCAAGCTCTGCACGTAATGGAGAACTGTTCTCCCTTAAGGAGAACTGCTGCTTTCAGCACATCTTCCTCCTTCATTTTAATTTTAGTGAATTTAACCACTGGAAAAAGCACTCGGAGTTGAGAGTAAATTTAAATCGTTGCAGTTTGTCAGATTTTTAATTGATTGCAGTTATGCAACGGATCCTTCAAAACGCAACAGGGTTAGACACAAAATTAATAAGCATTTATGAGAAAAGGAGTACATTCAATCATTTTGAAATTACATCAATAGGTATAAAGTATTCTTTGACTTTACTGAAAAAAGTCTGAGTGTTCTACACCCCCATTTATCTGATGCATTGTACTAAGCAGAGGAAGCACAACAAAACAAAGCTGGCAGCAGAATCAAAAGTGCAAGTCTTGCAAGCATGACTGAAATTAACTGAAGATATTTTAGGTTTGGTCAAAAGCAGCAAACAACAGTGGAACAAATTAACTCTGTGCATTTCTACTGTGCATCAGCTGAGAGCTCAGAGAAGGTTGGAAACTCATATTAAAATCTGTCAGAAAGTGGCTAGAGCTATGTAAACTTTTGCTAATAAATTCCACAACAAACATTCCAATAGGATGAACACAGATTTTTTGTTTGCCTACCAGAACCACACCTGACAGGCAGCATGATGCCACCACCCTAAGGAAGCTTTAGCTGTGGTTCCTTGCACCAGATCAACGTGTTTGCTGCTGGTGGGGATCTCCTCCTGTGTGCTTGTTTGAGGTGCTTGGTATAAGAGGAAGAGAGAACTAAAAGCCCCTAAGAAATAATGTGGTGTGGGTAAACTCTGGAAAGGAGGAAAATGCCATTACATTAGTTGTATTTAATAACCCATGTGGCTAAATACACACAGTCATCCATGTAAAACCAGAAAATATGTGTGCATGGAGTTTAGCTTTACACCTTTTGTCTAATTGAAAACCATGAAGCCTTTGTGTCTACAATCCACTCTGCCCTCTGGTCAAATCCTTAACCCTAAAATGGGTATTGCAAGCACCGCTCCAAGCCTCATAAGAAAATAAGAAAAATTTGCTGGTGGGGATGAATTTTATGGGAGTTTTATCAGCAAAAATTCCTACCAGTCAAATTTTTATATTTCAGATATTTTTTAGACCAATACAGTACAGAGATCCTGAATACCTGGAAGAACTGAAATGAGCAAATCTTATGCTAAAGATCTGCCTTCAATTTAAATTGACTAAGTAATTTTATCCAGCTTTTCTAAACCATCAAGAGATTTTAGGCAATGCAGTGTGTAGAGAACATATTTCTACTCAGCATTACCACCCCTGGTGTTACCAATACAGCAGGGGTTGAGGGAGGGTATGTCACAGCCTGTCACTGACAGTAAGATGTATAAAATCTGAGGCTGTTTTCAGGAAAGGAGCCATATGGAGCTGTGCTCTGGTTCTGCAGCCTGTGGTGCTCCTGTGCAGGAGCTCCTTTGCTCCTGTGCAAAACATAATCTGTACTGCCAATGGTCCCAATACTGACACAAACGCCAGAGTACTTTGTAGGTTGCCCCTCTGTAGTGAAAGTCTGAGCGGGCCTGGTTAAACAAATCTATCTTGACTGATTCTTGAATAAAATACAGTCAGACAGTAAACACCAGACTCACACAATACTCACTCTCGAGGCAACAAAAGACCAGTGTGATTCTATGAGGGCTGGGTTTCCCACATCTACCCTGCAGGGCTCACAGACACAAATGAGGGCACAATTTGATCTAATGCAACAAGCACTTTTCTCACTAATACGGAGTGAAGACTTATCTACATGTCTCCAGTTTAAACGAACACTGCCCTCCACAAGCAGGCACCAGCCCTTCATGTCTCTTCTCAGACAGGAAGGCAAAGGGTGGGAGTGTAAAGCCCTCCTGCATGGGTGAACCCTGTTTTGCCTCACTGTGTCCCTGCAGCACCAGCAGCCCTTGGTGCCAGCCCTGACCCCAGGTGTCTGCTACCTTCAGTTCCAACCAATGGATCAGAAAAATACCTTTAAAAATACGGCTTTATCAAAAGAGAGGCGTGAAGTTAGGTGGCTGAGACTTTCAAAAGATTTGCTGTGATTCTGATAGATGAGAACACATTTTTGTTTTTCAGTTTCTTCCTTTTTGCCTCTTTAAGGGGAGCTCCTGGAGGCACAGTATGTAACCACAGAATCACAGAAGTTTGTGTTGAGAGGGACATTCAAGCCCACCTTGTTTCAATCCCTCTCTGAAAGGCAAGGACATCTTTCAGTAAACCAGGCTGCTCAAAGACCCATCCAGCCTGGCCTTGAACACTTCCAGGAGTGGGGCAGCCACAGTTTCTCTGGGCAATCTGAGGCAGTTTGATCAGTGTCTATAACAGTGTCTATAATTGTCCTGATGCTCTCGGGGGAGGGCATAAAGTCAATGGGGTGGTTCCTCTTAAGCAGCTGAACTACTTTACTCTCAGACATCCTGGGAACATCACATTTTCTATTTCTCTCTAGTGTTTCCTCAACAAAGAAGAGTAATTGTTTGACTTACAAAGGCCTGTTCCTAAAACTCCAACTGATCTGGTCATACTGTGATCTGATGACTCAGCTTTGCTGTTTCTGCCTCTTAAAATACTCTCTGGCATCACATAGACACTGCAATGAGAAATCAGGACTTTTCTTTAATGGTGGAAAATGAGGTAGAAGGGAATTCAACTCACTCTCATGGAAACTTGTATAAGCAATTCCTCACTGAGAGAAAGAAAATATTTGAGGAAAACGTAGAGAGATTTCAGTCACTGGTGATGCTCTTTCTGCTTCAGTGACAGTGCAGATTTTAAGACAAGACTGAGCCTAGGTTTAAATCACAGCAGTGTAAAGGGTATTCTGATTTCTACTAGTTTACATCTTCTAGGGACCAGTGCGCATGTCCATGCTTACGTTGTTTGTTAGTACTCAGGTACGGGGGTGCACTCTCCATTGCCCACATCTCATCAAGGGACCATAGGAGACCTGCATCTCATCCTGGAGCAAGAGAAAGGCTGAGACACTGAGTTGTGACTGAATTTACCAGTTTTTACTGAATTTACTGAGGTTCACACAGCTCCTCTCAGTATGGCCTCATGCACCATGCTGACCATGTCAGCCTTGGGCAACCCAATGCCACAGAATTCTTACACAGTGCTCAAAAGGGGCTGAGAGGTCTCTGATGGTTTTCTTCATCCTTAAACCATCCCATGCAGTAAGAGCACGCTGGTGATAGACACTCATTTCATTTGGGCGTTCATGTTTGCTGAGGGAATCACTCCCATGGGAAAAAAGGCAATCTTCCATTGGAAAACTGGCCAAGGAGCTAGCTCAGAATGCAAACATCTTGAGTAAGAAACTAGGTTTTATGATGGATTCTTGGGAGGAGTTGGTTTCAGTTACTTGGCTGATTAAAATCAGGCTTTGGAAAAATACTGCAAGTGCCAAATGAGTTCTCTTGAAATTTCAACTCTAAAATACCCAGTATGTCACCACATAGGGCACCTCTTAAAGCCAAACCAAAACCTAGCAGCTGTGCCTTGTCCCTCTTCTCTCTTCTACTGACAACAAATACACTAAAATCTACCTAATTAAAGTGCTAAAAGACATCCACCTTCAACTAAAAGCTTTTTAGAATTTCATCTTGACTAGTGAATAATCAAACTTCTCCTGACGCAAAGGAAATGTGTTGTCATTTCTTTTCCCAGGGAGTTCACCCAAGATGGCCCCACCCGAGTCACACTCCACTGAGAGCATCCAAGAGGAGGATGAGAAGCAGGAGGAAGATGGGGTGCACGTTCTCCTCATTCAGGAGACATGCTGTTGTTTGGGCTGGGGAGGATTGCTCAAGGACAGCCCAGGGCTGGCTGGGGGGAATGGGAACAGGCAGGAGGAATTCCACATGGGTGCTCTTCAGCTTTCTCCTACGCACATGACCATGAGACATCCACGTGAACCCTCATCCAGAGGAGTGAGGAGGCTTTGGAGGACGCAGCAGTGTATTTTAGTTCATGTGCAATAATATAACCCCTAAACTAGTCACCACTTACAGATATTCTGGTTATACTCAAATAATGAGCTTACACACATGTGCAGGAAATAGATTTATTTAACAGGATCCAAAACCATGGATAATAGTATTTACTGGAAAAATTAGGAGGTGAAAACAAATCAAAGCATTTGCCTGTCTATAAAATTAATGTAGTATTTTACTTATTTCACAGCAGCATCAGCAAGCTTCATGTCTATAATGATCAACAGTGGGACTACTTACACAGGCATTTCTGTGCTGTCTTTGCCAAAACATTTTGTAAAGGTGACTGTCAAAATACAGTTTGAACTACAATCTAAAAAATGGTGCTAAAAATGGGGCAGAAGTTTAATGCATTTTTAAAAAAATAATAAAAAAAAAACAACGAAGAGCAAAACACAATTCTCTCTCAAAACCTGTGAGTACTTGAAATTACGGAAAATTCCTGTACCAGCATCTAATGCTTTAACCTATTCCTGTGAAGAGACTGACACTCCCATACAAGTGCAGACACAAAGCACATATGAATCCTGAATAGGTGCACTCATTCAATCAGCACTTCTATGGGATTCACATTCAGATGTTATGTAAATACATAAGAAACTCAATTTGTGACCATGTGTCAATGGGAAACTGGGCACAACAAACCTACATAAAAAGTAGGTGAAGTATAAGTGCATATATTTTAAAGTTAGATTCAAAGCCTAATACAAAAGGTAATAAAT